TCTCTCTCTCTCTCTCTCTCTCTCTCTCTCACACACACACACACACACACACACACACACACACGCACACACACACACCCACACACACACACACACACAAAATCAGTTTTAGGTATGTTTGTCTTCCGTTTTCTTTATGTAGTTTTTCCTATTTTTTCTTTCTTTTACCTGCCCAACTGAGCACCTTTAAGCAGTGCCAAACAGTCGGTCATTCCTTGTTTGGAGAGCCTGCAGCACTCTTAGGGGGGGGGCTCAGTTCGGGATAGCTGTCTGCCCTACGGGTGATGACAGACGTTCGTCTGAGTGACTCCCTGGCTCAGTGGGTGGGGGGAACCAACAGTCTGTGGGGTTCAGCCGTGATGTGGGTAAGTGATGTGCCTTTGCTCCGTGTTGGATGTGTGGACTGCCTCGTCTGCGCTCTGCAGCTGCCTTGCTGTCTGTCCCGCTTGCTTCGCAGGTCGTTCTTGGCAAGCTGTTGTGTTCGCTATGTGGTGTGGCTGTGTTGTTGGTCTTGCCTTGCGCTTCACTGCTCCACTGCCTTGCCGCCCATCTGCAGGTCGTGCCATCCGTGTCCTTTGCTGGCGTACCTTGTTGTTCGGTTGCCTTGTGCTTCACTGCTCGGTTGGCGTGCTGCTTGTCCGCTCACCCTGTTGTTCCTTGTAGTGTGGTCATCTTGTTGGTGTGGCCATCTTGTTGGTGTTGCCTTGTGCTTCACTGCGTGGTTGCCGCGCTGTGCGTCTGCTTGCAGCACTCTTTGGCGTTCAGCAGCCATGTCGCCTCTGCAGCGTTGCCTGGTGCTTCGCTGGGTTGCTGCCTGCTGCTGTATTCCGTTTGGGGACAGTCTGCCTTCAACATGGGTAAGGGTTCATGACCCAAACCATCAATACGGAGATTTCGCAGATTGTTGAAGGTTCAGCCTCCTGATGAGTCAGTGCTACTCCGACGAAACAATCTTTCATCATCAGTTTTGTTATTTCTGGCCTTTGCGTTTTTTGGAACTTGTACTTTCCTTGTTTGCCTTGTTGCTTCTTTGTCTTGCTGTTTCTTGGCGTGATGTCAAGTTCTCTGTTTCCTAGTGCTGTTTTGTCTGCCCACCTGCCTCCCCTGTGCCCTCCAGCCTGCGTTCTTTGCTGCTCCTTGACCACCCAATGCTGTTGATTGGCGTGCTGTCTTTTCCTGTGCTGCCTCCCTCACGCCCGCCAGCCTTTGTCCCTTTTGCTGCTGCCTCCTACCCTTTGCCTTAAGGTTGTTTGTTTGTCTTTCTTTTCGATTCAGCCTTGCTCTTTCAATTGACGGGCCAAAGTCTTGCCATGAGGACTTCGTTTGTTCGTACGATAGCATTCTTTGAATGCTGGCCTTGTGTTCCACCATGCCTAATGTTGCGATGTGTTGTTTTGGGAAAGGTCGTCTGATGTGAAGCTTAACGGCTGGGTTCTTTACTTTATTTTACCACACACACACACACACACAGAACACAGCTTTGCTAGCTCTACATGCAGGCAAATTGATGCAGCTAGGGTCGGGACAGTACTGGCAGTCGTGTCAGTGAATACCCCTGACTGAGTTTGTGTGTAGAGGTTGTGGCGGACTAGTTTTGCACTTGGGTCCAGGCCACTATTACTTGGTCCGTTCTGACTGAAGCGTTTTGCACAGTACCTAGGAACTGGAGCTTCCACAGGGGATCCCAGGAGACCTTACCTGTGGTACTGGCATTCCCATGGGTTGTCTTTGATTGGGACACATGGAGGGTAGCCAGGGTTCTTTTACCAGTCGTGCTTCTGGTGTCGCATTGGACCTTCAGCCAGGTCCTCTGTATGTGTGAAACATTTTGCTGCTCTGGGTCTATTCAGCTGAGGGTGTCCACAAAATTCAAAACAGTGTAGGAGGTACTAGGCGGTGCATTGTAAAGTGTGGAGGCAGGGTGCTATGGTGCTCAGGTTGAAAAGACCTTTGCACAGTTGCTGACTATGTTTTCCGGTTCTTTGTGAATGTTTGCATGCCGGTCGGACCTGGCCGACCTTGCACTCATTATCTCCTTTCTCTTCTGTTTTTTGATGGACTTGTGGATGTCCTTCGGCACATCCATTAAAACTGGAATGATACAGAGAAGATTAGCATCGGCCCTGCGGAAGGATAACACACATAAAGCGAGAAATGGTAAGCAAGAATATGGATGGATGTGTAGATGTTATTTGCTATGTGGTTTGTAAATGATAGACACTCAAGCTCACAAAAGCACGGAAAACACCAGGAGTACAACACTCACCTCCGGAAAGATCTGGTGGCAGACGACAAAGCCAGAGCTTTGCGGACATCCTCAAGTCGTCTGTTCGAGAACGAGATATCGTCATCGTCTGAGTCAAAGGCGTCACCATACGAGCCAGAAAGGCTGACAGCATCCTGCACGACCTGCTTCTCGGCCATTCAGCTTGACAATGTTTCAGCAGGCAAATGAAAACTGTGAGTGTGAGACCTCAGAGAGCCTTGTCATAACATGATTCTCTTTCCATTGAATACATGCTCTATTCCTCTCCGCTTCCCCCCCCTTAAACCGCCAGTACATGGCCCCAGCCTTGCAGAAAAAGCAACTCGTCACCACCGCACTGTACCAATGTGTTACATGCTGAAAGCCTACACACGGGCCCCTCACGGGACCCGAGGTTGGAATAGGGTCCCCAGGTCGCATCACCGCAACCTGAAGGCCCTATGGCATTTTTACGTGGGCCTGCATCAGAAAAACGCCAGCTTTAGATTATTTTTATATTCTTTTATTTATTTATTTGCTGCTGTTTTTCTAACGGTTGTACTGTTGTCCGTTTTSTGGCCAGGTACACGTTTTAGGACCAGGGCCAGATTCAGGCCCAGAGGCTGAGCTCCTAAAAACGTTTGGACCTTTTCTTTTGTTTTCGAACAGATTGCTACCYGTTCGGACCCAGGCCGACGTTGAGGMCGGGTACGTCCGCACAGGACCGGTTCGARGCCAGGTACCASGAAACTGAATCCTGGACAGGGCCTGGACGTCCGGTAGGGACCCAGGCAGGCCGTTTTAGGCCAAGGACTGGACCAGTTTCAAAGCCTGCGATCTGGACCGTGGATCGGAGTTTCGATCTGCACGGCCCAGAACGCAGGCCGTGGGTTTTCAGTCCTCGCCCAGCGCTACTTAAGCTGGGCCGTTGCCCAGTTTGTGGGCAGAAGGTACCAGGAGAAATCCAGCGTTATGCTGGTTCAGGAACTTCGGTGCTGCGCTATTTTGGAGACTCCCTGCTGAGCTATTTCGAGACTGCAGCTGCGCTGCTCATCGGCCATGAGGCACAGCGGTGGAGGAGTCCAGCGCCGAGGAGGGTAGTGGAGTTAGAGAGAGAGGGAGAGAGAGAGAGAGAGAGAGAGAGAGAGAGAGAGAGAGAGAGAGAGAGA